AGTTACAACCTGACTAAAATTCCATCAATGCTTCCTCTTCAGTGATGAATATCTTCCGCGACCGTTGAATTAGTCTGACAGTGTATGGATTCCCTGTGTATTCTATTGCAGTGTCCATTTGATCACAGAAAGCCTTCGCCATATCCGCTCTTTCATAAATTAGCTCACCACCTAGAAGGGCGACAGCAGCCAATCTAGTCGAATCTTACGACATGCTTATTAGGGAGACTATATGTATTCTTCCCAAAAAGTGGCCCCAGAACTTACACGGCAAATTCAGGACTCAAATCGAAAGCAAGTAGCAACAAGGGAGGGGGAAAAAAAAAGCAATGGACAGTTTTTGTTTCCATTTTGGAGTGAAATTTCATAAAACACCGTTATGACTTAACGACATTTTGGCTAAGACCAAAAGGCATAATCAAGCACGACGGAAAACAAAACAAATTACCTGCAAACCGTCAAATTTCCTATTCCGATTATATGTTTAACATGTGACACAGGAACGATAGATGGCGCCAAACAGAATTTGCAAAAACGTAATTACGTTTTCCCCAAGTACAAAACTAAATTAATGAACAAAATAAGTCAGAGGTAGAATATGTCTTACTGCTTACAGCTTTGAGATCCCAAGCTTGTTTCACAAGCTGGAACCAGTGTCATTGCCACTTTATATTCATGTACCTCCTTCGTGAAATTAGAGCATTACTCAGTACGTGTATACAATCGATCACTACAAAGTAGAAATGAGCGGGATCGGAAACTCGAACAAGGGTACTAACACGTTGGGTTAAGAACCTCTTAATCTATTGATTCGTGTTATTATGACACCAGTTGTAGGTATAGTGGATCTACTTTGATTTCCACAATAGTTGTGCACCCCTTTAGTGAACACAGACCATTACTCAATACGTGAATAAAATCGAACATTATACAACACTAATGAACGATGTCGGATCCTCCTAAGGGTACTAGCACGTCGGTTTCAGAACCGCTGCTTCCAAAGACGATGTCTATTGACACGAGTTGCAGGAATGCTGGCAATAGAGGTTCGCAATGAGTTTGTTGTCCAGACAGAATCCTTTCCTGGCCCAGTACTTACAGCTCTTGACATGCTTCGGGTCGTCCCGGCAAAGGTCTTGGCGGGCTGGTGGACAGATGAAGTCATCATTAGTTTATTTTCAAGTACATGATTGCTTTCATTGCAATAACACAACAGGGCAAGTGTGTTAGACTTATTTAAAAACAGTAACATAGTCAGTACTGAAAGGATGGTGGCAGACGCCTGGTATAGCGGCTAGAGGCTCGCCCGCGGACCAGAAAGTCGTGGTTTTTTTGTTTGGTGCTTTATTAATATCCTACCCCAAATAGGGGAAATCGACAGATAACGGGGCAATCTAATATTTCTGGGGATGGTAAATGTGCTGCATGCATTCGGGGGACCTAGGCTGCACTCTCTCGTGGGGCGTAGGTGAGTTGGGGTTAGGGCCAGTTCTAGATGTTTTGGGGTTGTTAAAGGCATAAGAAAGCCGGGAAACCCAGCCTTTAACACCCTCTTACCACTGTCATCTGGGGCGGGGGTAAGATATTATTAAAGAAACTTTTGTATTGCATGCATAAACTTGGCTCCAGGTCGACCCAATCTCCAGGCAGGTAGGTGCTTCGTTGGAATTGAAAAAACAAATAATGATTGGTATTTAATTATTATTTAAATATTTATTGATATTTCATGTTATTTATTGATATTTTATTATTATTGTTTTATTATTTATTGATATTTAATCATTTTGTTTATTATTTATTGATATTTTATTATTATTATTCTTCTGCCTTTCTATCCCCCAATGGAGCACAGGCCCTCAACCAACTCACGCCAAGTCGTTCTATCCTTCGCCATTGCATGGAGCTCTCCCCATGTCCTCCCAATCTTTCTAACCTCGTTCTCCAGCTCTCTTCTCCATGTTTTTATTTTTTGGCCTTCCTTTATTCCTATGCCCCTGTGGGTTCCAATGCAAAGACATTCTAGTAATGCTGTTCTCCTGTTTTCTCAGTGTGTGCCCTATACAACGCCAGCGTCTTTTCCTCACTTCCTGATCCACTGGAGCCTGTTTAGTTCTCTACCAAAGTTCTACATTAGTTATTCTATCATACCATTTTATTTCCTTTATTCTGCGCAGGCACCAGTTAATGAATGTCTGTAATTTATTAGTAATTGCCTGGTTGTTCTCCATGTTTCCGCCCCATACAATAGTACTGATTTGACATTATAATTAAAATTTTTTAGTTTAGTATTTCTTTTGACCTCCACAAATTCCCTAGTGCTATGAAAGCCCTCTTGCCTCCACGTCTTGGAGTGGGGTGCCATTAAGAGAAACCACATTACTATTTGCCTGATTTATTCTCATTATCTTTGTCTTTCCTTTATGGATTTTCAGACCAATCTGCTGTGATCTCGCATTAAGTATATTTAATTTATCTTGTATCTGATTCCATGAATGGGACAGAACAGCAATATCATCAGCGAAGTCCAGATCATCAAGCTGTTTTGTAGGGGTCCACTGAATTCCATTCTTGGTGTTAGCAGTTACTGTTTTCATAGTCCAGTCTATAGCCAGTAAAAATAAGAGAGGCGACAAAAGACATCCCTGTCGCACACCTGCTTTTATTTCAAATGCATCTGTTAGCTTTCCCTCATGAAGAACTCGACATTTCATGTCTTTATATGTTGCCTTTACTAAGTTGATAATTTTCTGTGGGATTCCATAGTGTCCCATCAATTTCCAGAGAGATTCCCTATCTATGCTGTCAAATGCTTTTTCATAGTCTATAAATCCAATGTAAAGTGGTGAGTTAAGTTCAATGCTTTGCTCTATTATAATACGTAATGTGGCTATCTGACCAGTACAGGATCTGGTCGACCGAAAACCTGCCTGCTCATCTTCTTCTTCTTTGTCTTCCCCTGCCTCTTGGTGTTTCGATTTTCATGTTGTATGCTCTTGATGCTGGCATCGTTGGTCCCATTCTCATTAGGTGACCAAACCATTTCATTCTTTGCTTCTCAATAAATTTAACGATGGGTATGGTTCCAATAGTTCTTGTAATCACATCGTTTCTCACTCGATCTCTTCTGGTTTTATTCGCAGCCATTCTCAAACATCTCATTTCACAGGTGGTTAGTCTTCTCTCGTGTTCTTTTGTTAATGTCCAAGTCTGACATTGATAACCTAATGTCGGTATAAAGATTGTATTTATAATTTGTCTTTTTATCTCAGCTGGGATAGCAGGGTGTTTTAAAATTGGGGCAAGCTGGTATGCGACATTGTTGGCTTGTTGGATTCTTGCTTCGAACTCTCTGTCTATTTTATCATTGAATGTAAAGATACTTCCCAAGTATTTAAATTCTTGCACTTGTTTTAGGCTGTGATCTAGAATCTTTATGTCGATGGTCTGTTGCTCTCTACTTATGCTCATGACTTCTGTCTTTTCAGTATTGATCTTCATATGATGCTTGAGGCAACTGTCGTGTAGTAGGTTTAATTATTTTATTATTTATTGATATTTTATTATTATTTTACTATTTACTTATATTTTATTATTAATTTATTATTTTTTATATTTTAATATTTTCTGATGTTTCATTATTATTTTATTATTTTTCGATATTTTATTATTATTGTGTAGTATTATTTATTTTAAGGCGGAAGGATTAAAAGGGATACTTCGCCGCATTGGTTCCGGGGTCCCTTGTGGGGAAAACAAGAATAGACCCACTTCCTGTCTTAAAGCATCTCATAAGAGTCGACTAATTGGGAGTTTCCTTCAAATTCGGAGTACATCTGCCGGAGAGGCAAGGAACTAACAGTTTGCATGCAAATGTTTTAGACCTGTCAAACAGATGTGCATGCAACACTCAGTTTCAGGAGCAGGACTAGAGTCCAGTAGTGGACAAACAACCAGAACTTTCCGCTGGAGTTTACAGTCCGTGAACGCGAAGAAGAAGAAAAGGAACACCGTTTAACACAATTTTATTCCAAGTGGGTTCCCAAAACAGCAGCGAATAACAGTATGGTTTCGTTGTCACTTTCCGTCTTTCCGGGTGATAGTGTTACAGTGTGCCGTGAGGAGGAGAGTGTGACTAGAAAGAGCCGCTGGAGTTGAGAAAAGTCTTCCACAGTTAGAAAAAATGATTTGAGGACCGGTGTTACCATTGTATGTTTCTAGTGTGAGTCTTCTAAGAAGCTAAGCTCTTAACTTATCTGCAGTCATTTCTGCCTTCATTCTTATTCCTATTCTGACGTGCTGCTTCCACACAGCACTGTCCATGACATTTTGTTGCTATCAATCCACCTCAATACCCGTATAACTCATGTCCTGCCTGCATACATCTTTGCATCGCAGTAGACGCATATCTCGACATCTTTTAGCCAACTGTAATTCACCATAGAGGATTTTCTTAGGAGCTCTTCCATCCTCCATTCTCCAGGTGTAACCCAGCCACCCGAGCCTTTGTAGACAGCATTTAGAAAACTGTTCTAGTATTGTGCTCTTTTCACTACCTCTGTATTTGTGATCCTATCTTGCCACTTAATGACAAGTATTCTTCTTAGGCATCGCATGTGGAAGCTATTTGGCCGTTTCTCCTGATGTGAATCTTCTTCTTCTTCTTTACGTTCGATTTCGTATGCTCAGGTCAGACCATTATTAGGTGGGTTGCCTCTATGAACTCCCATGTCAGCTGCAGGTTCTTCATGGTCCCCCACAGCTTGCTCTGCACACTTTGCTCTTGAGGCCAGGTTTCCTTTCAAAGTTGTAGGTAGTGTGGGCAGGTCTGCAGAATGTGCTCAGGTGTTTGTAGTCCTGTTTGACAGGCACACAGTGGGGACTGTACAATCTTTATTTTATGTATGTGGTAGCTGAGCCTGCAGTGTCCTGTTCGTAGACGGAAAATTGTTGTATGTTGCTTTCTGTTAAATCTGCTGAAGGGGTCTTGTGGATGGTTACTGTTGATTTGTTCTCTCCACAATTCCTTTAATTTTCCCTTAATGAGTGTTGTGATCTCTGGTAATGACAATGGATGGGTGTGTTGTTTCTTCTGTTGACCAGGTTTAACTGCCGTGTAGAACAGTGATGAGAACCCAAGAGGCAGAATGAAAACATCCATTATTTACTGGGGGGTTTACACGTTTGATCGCCTTTGTGTACACAAGAAATGGCAGAGTCATAAACATTTACAGACAGTGAGACACTTGCCTAGACAGTTACAAGACATGTTGACTGGCTGTTGAAAATGCAGGCAGACAGCCAGACAGATAGACGTGTGGATAAGAAAACCACAGGTAGATGCATGTAGAAAGCGGTGGAAAGGTGTGAGCAGAACAAAAAATTAATATGGAGAATCCAGAAATAAGTTGATTTCTTACCGTGAAACTAAGCACACAAGCATATTAAGGAAAATTCACATGAAAACATTCCCTAAATCAGTTCTTTACACACTCACTCACTTACTCACTCACTCACTCACTTACTCACTCACTCACTCACTCACTCACTCACTCACTCACTCACTCACTCACTCACTCACTCACTCACTCACTCACTCACTCACTCACTCACTCACTCACTCACTTACTCACTCACTCACTCACTCACTTACTCACTCACTCACTCTTTCACTCACTCCTTCACTCCCTCACTCATTCACTCTCTCACTCATTCACTCCCTCACTCACTCACTCACTCACTCACTCACTCACTTACTCACACATTCACTCATTCACTCCCTCACTCATTCACTCACTCACACATCAACTCACTCACACACACTAACTCATTTAGTCACTCAGTTACTCACTCACTCACTCACTCACTCACTCACTCACTCACTCACTCACTCACTCACTCACTCACTCACTCACTCACTCACTCACTCACTCACTCACTCACTCACTCACTCACTCACTCACTCACTCACTCACTCAATCACTCACTCACTCACTCATAACTTGATTTTCTCACTCAAGCATTGGCTTACCCACTCATCCATTAATTTACCCCACATCTGACGCATGTACTCACCTTTTCACTTACTCACGCAGTCATTCATTAATGAAAAATACTCATTCATTCACTCACTCACCCACTCCGCTAATTCACCCGCTCACACACCCCGTCACCAACTCATCAGCTCATTCACTGACCCACAGTGACAGTTACAAACATTTCCCCCCCCCCCCCACCCGCTCACACACCCCGTCACCAACTCATCAGCTCATTCACTGACCCACAGTGACAGTTACAAACATTCCCCCCCCCCCCGCTCACAAACCCCGTCACCGACTCATCAGCTCATTCACTGACCCACAGTGACAGTTACAAGCATCCCTCACCCGCTCACACACCCCGTCACCGACTCATCAGCTCATTCACTGACCCACAGTGACAGTTACAAACATCCCCCCCCCCCCGCTCACAAACCCCGTCACCGACTCATCAGCTCATTCACTGACCCACAGTGACAGTTACAAGCATCCCTCACCCGCTCACACACCCCGTCACCAACTCATCAGCTCATTCACTGACCCACAGTGACAGTTACAAACATCCCCCCCCCCCCGCTCACACACCCCGTCACCAACTCATCAGCTCATTCACTGACCCACAGTGACAGTTACAAACATCCCCCACCCGCTCACAATCCCTGTCACCAACTCATCAGCTCATTCACTGACCCACTGTGACAGTTACAAACATCCTCCACCAGCTCACACACCCCGTCACCGACTCATCAGCTCATTCACTGACCCATAGTGACAGTTACAAACATCCCCACCCCCCCCCCCCCGCTCACACACCCCGTCACCAACTCATCAGCTCATTCACTGACCCACAGTGACAGTTACAAACATCTCCCACCAGCTCACACACCCCGTCACCGACTCATCAGCTAATTCACTGACCCACAGTGACAGTTACAAATATCCCTCACCCGCTCACACACCCCGTCACCGACTCATCAGCTCATTCACTGACCCACAGTGACAGTTACAAACATCCCTCACCCGCTCACACACCGCGTCACCGAGTCATCAGCTCATTCACTGACCCACAGTGACAGTTACAAACATTCCCCCCCCCCCCCCCGCTCACACACCCCGTCACCAACTCATCAGCTCATTCACTGACCCACAGTGACAGTTACAAACATCCCTCACCCGCTCACACACCCCGTCACCGACTCATCAGCTCATTCACTGACCCACAGTGACAGTTACAAACATCCTCAACCCGCTCACACACCCCGTCACCGACTCATCAGCTCATTCACTGACCCACAGTGACATTTACAAACATCCCGCACCCCCATAACTCACAAAAAGAATAATATTCCATGTTTAATCTGTTGAATGTTGAATTAAGAATTGACATAACAGCACTCGGGACACTCCCATAAGTGCCTCGTCCCCATCTTCGGCAGCAAGAGAAGAGTTCAAATGCCAATTGCATCAGTAGCCGTCAGATTGAATATATATATGTGTCATCCTTCCCCTTAGAGTTGAGCGTCAACCACATCCCCTGGTAACTCCTCGTAGTGCCATTCTCATCATATCGTAATTATCTATCTGCGCATCCGCACTGTTCACTCGTTCCCAAAGGGCCCTCAAAATATCTAGCTTATTTTAGATAAATTCACCACCAAGTGGTGCAGAACCGGCCAGTCTATCTGCCTACTCATTTCCCAAAACACCTGGAGTAAATATACAAAGGATGCCAACTACCCGGGACCTTTGAAGTGATGCCTGCCACTCTGCACAAAGCATGCCTGTCTCCACCTTTCTCAACATGTGAGTCAGTTACAATGACGGCATGTGTGTACAGCTGATTCTCAAGCCAGCAGAAGACATCAGAGCTACGGAGTGCGTGCTCTGTGCTTGATACCATCTTCAGATGGCAACGGGGAGAGTGTGAAGAGGAGTATATTCAATCTAAGGTCATGCACTAATAATGTTTAGGCCCGCCCTCTTTTCTCTGTTTCCTTTATGTCAGCCACCAAGGTAAAGTTCAAGGTTGATCTTTTCTTCGTTCCCGTGGGGGATTCATTTTTTGGGGTTATTTTGAAGTTCCACTCTGGCTGTTCCCTGGGGTCCTAAAATAACCAAAGGGTTAAACAGTGATTCCAGGACCTCTCCACGGGTGATCCTCATCTGAATGGTTGCACTTTGTGTCACCGGGTGTTTATCGCTCTGTGTGTGATGTCCTGGTGGGGTACAACTTTCTTACTGGGCTAAAAGATTCTTGTGGCGCCAGTGAAAGGTCAGGTACAAGTAGTTCGATTCACCTCAGCTGGTGATGTCGACCGACTTTACTTTCTAGGACTTTATATATATATATCTATAATAAACAAACTGACAATGCATTAATCGACACTCACAGAAAGAAGTATAAAGATAGAAGGACACACTAGGCAACATAAACATAGAAAGCCATAGTTACTGTGCCTGAAATCGAACCTGTTACCTCCAAATGGCATGTACGCCTTGACAGCACATTACGTGTTACCTACATGGAAGGCAATGTCAATAAAACGAACTCCCAAGTCGTTTGGGTGGGAGACGAAGCGTCTAACAGCTACAGATAGGAACCAACCTTGATTATGACGTTGTTTTTCGGGTCTCCTCCTTTCTTTCCTGCGCTGACGTTTCTCTCCCACAGTTCTTTCAGTTGGCTGCTGTCTGTCGGTCACTTCCGGAGCAGGACGTGCCATTAAAGCACTTGGCGCATTCCTTTGACGCTCAAGACGCCGTTGCTCCCTGCAATGACAATACAAACCTAGTTGTTTTAGTTTCAACAGGCAAGCCGGCAGTTTAGACATCAAAGTCCTTATCAGTCTACGAACAGGACACTGCAGGCTCAACTACCACATACATAAAATAAAGATTGTACAGTCACCCAGTGTATCTGTCAAACAGGACACCAAACACCTCAGCACATTCTGCAGACCTGCCCACTCTACCTGCAACTTCGAAAAGACACCTGGCCTCAAGAGCAAAGTGTGCAGAGCAAGCTGTGGGGAACCATGCAGGACATGCGGCTGACATGCGAGTTCATAGAGGCAACCCACCTGATGGTCTGATGTGAGCATACGAAACCGAACGCAAAGAAGAAGAAGAAGATATCAGGACCCAACAGGCAGAGACACCCAGTGGTAGCTGAAATTCAATCAGCGAACTCGACACAGATATGGATTGCACATAAACCAACCAAGAAAGCAAAGAAGGAGTATCTCGCTATATTAGGTGCCACAAATATAACTGAAAGTTCGCTCAGCATGGTCTACTTCAACTAACAAACGAACGAACAGTTTTAACACAGTAGGGAAAGTGAAGAACCTTTCTTACGCCATTGGTGAGTAGAACATATATTGCTGAAGCCATATCTTTTAAAGACCAGTTTATGAGGGGATAGTCCAACCAGCCTATCTGCCTGCTCATTCCCCAAAACGCCTACATAACCCAGGCAAAATATTTATAAACTACATGGAGCCTCCGAAGCATGATTTTCCGTCCATGTTAAACATTGCAGTGGTTTGTAATGAATAGCAATCCTGGTTGAGAGATGAGTAGAGTAATGAACTGACATCACAACATTCAGGACAATCCTATAAACACCCCTCCCCAGTCTTCAGCAGCCAGCGCAGAGTTACGATTCTGAAGGTACCGGTGACATCCATTGCTCCTTTCCTTTAAGTCAAGGCTACCCAACTGGCGGCCGACGGGCCCAATCTGGCCCGCTGAGGCCTTGCAAGCGGCCCTCCGAACTTTGCCAAAATAGCCAAAAGCAGTTATTACAAAGAAAAGAGTCTAAGTGATGAATATCGGCCAGATCCCATGATCACTTCCTGATACGCGGAATATTACTGCATGATGGTAATGATAATGGTAATGATGATAATGATGATGATGATTATGCTAGGACAAGTGTGACGATGGTGAAAAAGGTGAAAAAGCTGCTGAAGCTGAAGCTGATGAAGTTGATAGGGCGATAAAGAAAGTTAGCATGACAAGGATGTACGCCTGTCGACTCCCACGTACTTGTCAGTGAAGATAATTATCTCTTTCTCCATCTACTTACGCTAGTGATGTTTTGACGCCGTTCCTGCAGTAAATATATATTTTTCGACAGTCGACAGCCGCTGCACACGCAGTTACAGCGTTATCAGCTTTTCACACGATTTTCTCTCCACCATCTCAACCCCCTCTCCCCACAAGCACAAAGGGGGCCGCGTTAGCGCAGTCGATAAGAGGCTCGCTTTCAAATCCAGCTGCCACTCGCTACAGCCTACGGTCGATGTTCGAAACCGGGCGGCTCCCGGGGTTCACCCAGCCTCTAGGAAATAGGTACCAGTGTTGACACTCTGGGGTAAATGGAGGAACGTCGCTGTGCCTACAAAGTTATTTGCGGACGGCGACACAGGCGGACCGTTTCTTATCAGCTGTCCGTACTGGTGGCAAAGCACTTATGGTTTATAACCGTGTGCAATGACGCTGGTTCACCTCTCCCGACTTTATCTTTACTTTTACAAGCATAAAACAACGCCAATAGCACCGCCATCATCATCATCATTTTTTTAAATCATCATCTTATTATCATCAACAGCATTATCACCGTCAACATCATCATCATCATCGGAGTCACCGTGGCGTAGCTGCTAGACGCTCACGTGCGGATCAGAAGGTCGTCTGGTTCGCTTCCTAGCGGAGCCGGATTTTTTCAAAAAATGACCACATCACCCATCTTCTGCTGATTGTTCTATAAAAATATAGGTCTAGCCCTATACGAAATGTCGGCTCTGTGGCTAAGTCGATGCGAACGCTTCGTAATGCCGTGATGCTAGGTTCGATCCCAGCTGCGAGCCATGCGCCTTGCGTTGGTTTCGACAGTGGTATCAAAAAAGCCGACCATCCAGAAAAAAACGGCAAACTACTGGACGTAAATTTCCCTAGAAAAACCACACAACAGTTAGGGGCTGTTGGGCTTGGTTCTGCAACGTCCTGTAAAGGATACGCAACTAACTAACCTTTACGAAAAAGACGTTGAAAAGGGACCGTCACTATCTACTTACATCATCATCACCATAATCCATTAAGTATCAAATATGGCTGACAGTCTATTTATTCCTGCATCCTGTTTTGTCCCGTGCAATCCTTTAGACATTATTATTTGAATCTAGTCCAGCACCTTTGGTCTCTCTCATCAACGTTCGTTTTAGGGTTCCTGTTTGGACTTTCTCGTTTTCCCACTATGTTTTCTCACAGAACATAGTTTGTATTTAATCATGCTGCCTATTTCAGGCCAGAAAGCTGTTATTTCTCTTGTCCTGTACACCCACATATGTTGTTAATCATTCAAGTCGTATATCTTTTGCCATCTTCTGCAGAGCGTTCCTTTCCTCCCCATTTTACTGACTTCAATCTCTCGTCTGTTGTCAAGCCTCACTATTTATTTGTTCTGCGGTTTGAAGCGAAAGAACATTGCCGTTTTAGTTATAATATTAGCTTTGCTTTCTTTCTAATGGCTGTGTTGCCTGTACTTTTTTTTTTACTGCCTTCTTGATTGTCTGTACTTTAATTCACTTCGTATGCTTCACATTCGTGATTCAGTAGTACTAACAAGCCATCCAGCTGACACATCAACCAACTCAGAGTTGATTCCCATAAGCGCTCCCTCACCACCCCAGCAGCAAGCTGAGAGTTCCAATAACAATGGTGCCAGTAGCATTCTGATCATACGTTTGTCTTGTGTTTCCAATGAGCGTCGAGCATTGGCCAGATCATCTCGTCACTCCCCGTTGCATTACTCTCACCAGACTGTGGAAATCCGCTTGCTCCTCCTTATTGTACACATTCTCCCACAAGGCCCTAACCACGTTTGCCTTATCATGCATACATATTTCAACGCACAGCCACCCAGACCGCCTCCACCTCCATTCTTCAACCAACCCGAAAATTAACCAACTAACCCACAAGCTCAAACTAACCCCACCTTTCAAGGAATTCAACAACCAGCCTACCAATTCTCCACGCCAAAACAAGCTACCAACAAATTTTTCAAGCCCAAGCAAGCAACCAACCAATTCTCTACGCCCAAGTAAGCAAGCAACCAATTCTACACGCCCAAGCAACCAACCAACCTACCAGTTCTACACGCCCAAGCAACCAACCAACTAATTCTACACGCCCAAGCAACCAACCAACCGATTTTACACGCCCAAGCAACCAACCAGCAAGTCCAAAAGAACTCCATCATTCAAGAAACCCAGCAACCAACCAACCAATTCTACACGCCCTAGCAACCATCCATCCAATCAACAAGCCTGAACGAAATTCTACCTTCTAGCTTTGCGTTCAGCGATGGTCAGCTGTCGTCCTCCTGCTTTCTTTCTCCGGCCATTCTTCTGTCCATCGGGACTGCTTCTTCTCTTAGGGCCGTTCTCTGTTGTCTGATCTCCTTGTAGATCCTCATTGTCCGACACGTGAAGGCCACATTTACCACACGTCATTGGACAGGACAAGGTGACGGCCGAACTCTTGTAGCACTTGATGGCCCAACGACTACACCTAATGGGGGCAGGGGGTGGAGAGTACAGTTTAGATCAGTAACAAAAGTAAAACTTAGTACATTTAGTACCCGTTATACATTATCCGTAAACTACTTCAAGTCACAAACCAAGAAACTGTAGGCAATATGATAATCAAGAGAAGATGGAAATGGCTTGGCCACGTTATGAGAATGAATCCTGATATACCTGCCAAAACAGCTCTCACATGGACACCAGAGGGAAATAGAAAACAGGGGCGCCCAAAAACAACATGGAGACGAACGATGGAAAGTGACCTGAGTGCGGCATCTTTGACATGGAAAACTGCACTGAAGATTGCGCAGGACAGGAAAGCATGGAAAGTCCTCTCTGAAACCTCATGTGCCACTAGGCATAACGAGAACTGATGATGATGATACATTATCTGTAAACACAATAAGTATAGATTAGGTATAAAGTACAGATCAGAACATAAAAAAAGGTTAAAACATAGAGTACAGATCAATACACATGATGGATGTTGAATTAAGAATCTGTATCATAGAACTCGGGATACTCCCCTAAACATTTCGTCCTTATCTTCAGCAGCAAGCGAAGAGGTCCAATTCCAATGGCACCAGTAACTGTCTGATTGTACATCCATCTCGCATTTTCTTTGAGTATTGAGCGTTGGCCAGATTCAATGGTACTCCACGCAGCGCCATTCTCCTCAGACCGTAATGATCTATTTGTGCCTCTGCACTGTTCACTCACTCCCAGAGGGTCCTCACAGCATTTAGCTTGTCATATATCAATTCACCACAGTACATAAAGTACAAATTGTATAATGCAGCAATAAAGTATAGATCAGTAGATAAAGAATAGACCAGTACAAAATGGGAAGGTCAGCATACACAGTATACGTCAACACATACCACTCCAGATTTCGTTGTCAAATCTTTATTAGTGTCCGAGTTATGAACGAAATATGGGTCCCGCCACAAGTGAGAGACTCGATGTATGTACGTGCGTGCACCTGTGGAGCGCGCGTATCCAGTGCGCAATGACATACGTGAGGATTACCCAACTCCTAACTCAGACTGGCACACTGACAGAAGAATAGACGGGCAAGCATGCACATTTTTAAACAGGTTCTTTTATTTTATTTCACTCCATCTTGAAACCTCCGATATTTCTTGGGGAATTCCAGGAAAGGTCCACTATTAAAGAAAGGCGGGAGCGGCAGGGTTAGTGTTAGTCGTTGCTTATTTCACACCCTATCTCCCCTATACTATTGGACTTTCACGGGAATTCCCCACGAAATCTTGGAGGCCCCGAGATAGTGTGAAATAAAAGAAAAAACCTAAACGTTATTCATGTCCATACATCCATCCATCTGTCCGTCCGTCCATCCATCCATCCATCCGTCCGTCCATCCATCCATCCATCCATCCATCCATCCATCCATCCATCCATCCATCCATCCATCCATCCATCCATCCATCCATCCATCCATCCATCCATCCATCCATCCATCCATCCACGAATACACACGCAAACACACATACTCACTCCTCGTGTCTATCGACACATCTCCGTCCATCGGCTTCCATGATGTAAGTATCTTTATGTCGATGCGCATTTTCCAACTTCTGCCTCTCAGATTGTCGATACCTCCATTTCTTTTTCAGATGCGTTGTTCTCTTTTCTTGACCCTGTTTCTTTCCTGCGGACTCGCCGAGTTCACTTACTGCTTCTCGAGTATCTACAGACGTGTCAACCTCCTCATTATTGTCGTTATCAGAAATATTATCTATAAACTCTCGTTGAGATTGGTTCTCAGAAATTGTCATTGATGTTCTAACGCTTTCTGACTTGAAATTGGATTCAGTTTCTTGCGTCCGACCAGACCATCCAGGTGGTGATAGTTCCCCTTGGAGTCTGCTTTGTTGCCTACTACTTATTGTTTTATCTGTCTCGCCTCGTGATAATAATTTGACTACATGATCCACAGTAGAAGACTGAGCTGTCAGCGATCCCTGAGAACGACTAGAAAAAATGTTGTCTTGTGATTTTCTTTGAAACTCTTCTTCAAGTCTTGATAATGTAGAATCCGGGTCATTTCTAGAGCCGTTGTTTTGCGAAGGTCTTTGTGATCTATGTTCCTCACGATTTATTGGTATGTTATCTCCTAATGTGGTTCTATCTTGGAATGAATTGGCATAGTAGCGTCTTCTCACGTTGTAGTCATCCGGTGAATCTGTGACACGGTATGTATCTGCTAAAAGACGCGTTGATATTCTGAAACGTTCTGTCCTTTCGTCTCTATTTGGTTCACTTGATAAACCCCGATTGCTATCGCGTTCTGTTGGATCGAGTAAGGCTTGTCTATTACGCTCTTCTTGAATTCTCTGCTGTTCTCGTTCCTCCCTTTGTAGCTCCTCCAAATTTCGACGCCTTTCCTCATCTGTCTCAAGCATCCGATGGGCTAATTCTTGGGCAACTTTTCGCTTGCGTTCATCATCTTGCTTTTTCAGCATCTCCAAAAACTCATCTTCTTTTTCCTTTTGCCGTTTCCTGACAAGCAAATGCTGTCTTTGCTGCTGTTCTAACCCTATTTGTCTTTGTTGCTCCATCTCTGCGTTTCTCTCTTTAAATTCTTGCTGTCTCTCTTGTTCTAGCCCTATTTGTCTTTGTTGTTCCATCTCTGTGTTTCTTTGTTTTAATTCTTGCTGTCTCTGTTGTTCTAATCCTATTTGTCTTTGTTGTTCCATCTCTGTGTTTCTTTGTTTTAATTCTTGCTGTCTCTGTTGTTCTAATCCTATTTGTCTTTGTTGTTCCATCTCTGTGTTTCTTTGTTTTAATTCTTGCTGTCTCTGTTGTTCTAATCCTATTTGTCTTTGTTGTTCCATCTCTGTGTTTCTCTGTTTTATTTCTTGCTGTCTCTGTTGTTCTAACCCTATTTGTCTTTGTTGTTCCATCTCTATATTTCTTTGTTTTAACTCTTTCTGTCTTTGTTGTTCAAACTCTACTTGCCTTTGTTGTTTTAAGTCACTTTCTCTTTGTTGCTCTAAACCTATTTGTCTTTGTTGTTCTTCTATAAGAGTCTGCCGACGTTTTTCCATCTCTTCCCTGTGTTGCCGATGCTGTTCCATGACCTCCTGCCTTCGTTTATCTTCTCTATGTTCCGCCTGCTGTCTCTCCTGCTCTTTGAGATAGTTATTTTCAGCATTTACTTGGGGTCCAGGAACCAGCTCTTTCGGATAAACCTGACCAGAATGATAAGCTTGACGATGCTGCTGCGAACTATGACTTTGCTCCGAGGAGTAAGAATGCGAAGCAGAAGCAGCCGAAAGGGATGATTCTGATTTGAAATGATGCTGCTGCTGCTGCTGCTGATGATGATGATGTTGTTCATGGTGCTCTCTGCGGTGCTGGGTCTGCTGATGATGTCCCTGAGACGAGACCGAGGAAGACTTTTGTTGAATTAGACTAGTGAATTCTTGAAATGAGCGGCTTGAACTGGATGCGGAGATGGCTGATTTTGGGACCAGTTTCTTCACGTAGTCTGAAATCGAAGCAATTTTTTTCCCATTTCTACATTTCATATAAATTTAAGTGTGCAATGGTAATAATATTACCAGTAATAACGCTAATAATAATAATACTAATAATAATAATAATAGTAATAATAATAATGTGATGAAAAGCAAATATTTTAAATGATATAAAACAAATAAAAGAATACTTTAGAAAGAAACTGCCTACACAAGAGAAGTGGTGCATCTTGTCCACTTACTAATTTATTTGAATTACTGGGAGAAAAAAATTGGGGGGGGGGGGGGTGCTGGGGCACCGAAGCACATCAGTGTGCCTTGGCCTTAGGTTTCATCATTTCTAAGGTAACACAGTAACTAAGGTAACACAGTAACTAAGTTAACACAGTAACTAAGGTAACACAGTAACTAAGGTAACACAGTAACTAAGGTAACACAGTAACGAAGGTAACACAGTAACTAAGGTACACAGTAACGAAGGTACCACACTAATAATGGTAGCACAATAATGTCGGTAACAGAGTAATGAAGGTAGCACTATAATAATGGTAGCACAATAATGTAGGTAACACAGTAACGAAGATAACACAGTATCGAAGGTAACACCAGGTTTCATCATAACGAAGGTAACACAGTAACTAAGGTAACACAGTAACTAAGGTGACACAGTAACTAAGGTGACACAGTAACGAAGGTAACACAGTAACGAAGGAAACACAGTAAAAAGGTAACACAGTAAGGAAGGTAACAACATAATGATGGCAACAACATAATGATGCCAATACATCAATGTTTGTAACATCAAAATGAAGGTGACACCAAACTGAGAATAACACCATAATATTGATAACAACACTGAAGGTAATACAAAAATAAAGGTCACACCATATTGAAATTAACACGACAATGAAGGTAACACCACAATGAAATTAACACTACAATGAAAGTAACACCACAATGAAATTAACACCACATTCCAGTTTGCGGCACACGGTGTTGATCGCTCATTGTGCACTCTTTTCTCTTCGTCTGCCTTTCTAACCCCCCAATGGAGCATAGGCACTCAGCCTTTTCTCGCCAAGTCGTTCTATCTCTCGCTATCCCCATCTTTTAACTTCAGTCTCTAGCTCACTTCTCCTTGTGTTTTTGGTCTTCCTTTATTTATATGCCCCTATGGGTTCCAGTGCAAAGACATTCAAGTAGCATTGTTCTCAGGTTTTCTCAGCGTGTGTCCTATCCAGCGCCAGCGTCTTTTCTTCGCCTCTTGGTCGACACTGGAACTTGTTTAGTTCTTTCCCAAGGCTCTACATTAGCTACCGTTACTGTTCTAGAAAAACCTCGACCACATTCAACCTACTGTTGGCGAAACTGCTAAAAGTCTCCGGTTATATTTGTGGTCTGGTTTATTTGCGCCACTTGCGTGTCTGATCTACATTATTAATTCAATCATACCCTTTAATTCTCTCTATTCTGCGCAAGTACCTGTTAAGGAATGTGCAGTCCCTCTGGTATTCAATATCACTCTTACTTACCTGGCGCCAGTTTCGAATTAGGCCCCGATGAAACGCAAAGACTATCTACGCACGTGTCTCCAGGGGCGCATTCGGAGCATGGGCGTCCTCTAGAGTAAGGGAAGTTTCCCACAAAGTTTCCCCTGATTGAAGAAACAAACAGAAAAAAACAACACGTTATATTTTTTAAGGCATCTCCATTTTAAAAAAAGGAGTTATTATTACACACAGAAACAGGGCACAAAGAAGATGTTTCTTCACAAAAACTGCCAATTACTGCCTTTATCATACCACTTTTGCGGTGTAGGCGTGGGGTCTTTGAGCCTGAAGATTTACGGCCGCATGGCTAGTGCTGTCGCCACGGCTGTGCAGATGAGGTTTTATTTTGCCGCCAACAGAAAAAATCCCCAGCCTTACCGAGGATTCGAACCCGGGTCTCCCTCTGGAGAGCGTAGCGTTCTAACCGTTCGACCAACCGCTGCTTTTTACAAAACCAAAAACTTTACATTTTTTGTATCATTAAAACTAAGAAAAGGCATTGTTTCAAACGCAGGGTGTATTTTTAATAAATATATTTCTAGAAAATGTTCCGTTCCTATTTTTATAATAACCGCCTGTGCAATTATTGCAATATATAATGCTATAGTGTATATTATTTTGAGCACTGATTTTTGCCAACGAATTTCTTTTGCAGATGACAATGGCTTGATTGCAGATTCAGCCATACATTTGCAATAGCATCTGACATCCATAAATGAAGAATGTAAATCAAATAATATGTGAATCAACAGCGAAAAGACAGAAATAATGTCAATAGGAAGAAAGAAGCAGGATTTAAACATAGCATTAGAGTATACATTTATTAAACAGGCATCTGAGTTTAAATATCTTGGAACAACATTTACTGAAGACGGTAAATGGGACTAAGAAATTGACATCCGACGAAGTAAGGCCAGCCAAGTAATGGGACAGCTGCCTTCCTCTTACAGCATAAGGCGATCCCAATCATCACACACACACACACACACAAACATCTTATCCAAAGCACAATAATTCTCACCCTATGCTACCAGTGCCAGACATGGTCACTCACAAAAAAAAAAAAACAACAACACACACACACACACACACACACAAAAAACACACACAAAAGAATATTAGTAACCATGGAAATGAGGTGTCTGAGAAAGGCTGTAGGAGTGACCAGAATAGATAAAATCAGGAATGAGGACTTTCAAGGTAAAGTCGGCACAAAACCAATTCTAAATTACATAGAAGGACAGCAAATCAAATGGTTTGCCCAGTTGGAGTGAATGCCTCCTGTTGCTATACCATACAAAGCATGCACAAAAACAGAAGAGGGACTTACAGCAAGAGGCAGACCAAGAACAAATGTGAAGATAACATCAGAGAAACTCTACAGTACCACTATGTGTCTATGGTCGAAGCAGCCAGAAGAACACAAAGCAGGACCTAATATCTCTCTCGACACCAGAAGCGGTAAAAGAGAATGTAGAGAAGAAGAAGACTGTAATTCGCATGAAAGTTCAATTCACAATCGAATCTTCTGGTAAAATTTGCCACCAGTATTAGGATAAACCATTTGAGTTTCAAGAAACATCATAAATTGCTGAACATCCACATTTGAATACCTGCCACCGTTAAGGAACACATGCTCAATCAACAATATACTTTCTTCAACAGTCAACACCATAATAGCTAAGATCAGTTTCTAAAACACCGGTGTATAGCAGTGATATTCTAAACGAAAGGTTACACTGCGCTTGAAACATGACGTAATGCACGAATTTAATCACCGTGTGCAAATCAGTGATTTCAAAAAGTCTACAGTCTATAGGTTTTTAATTACCTTAAAGATAAGAAACGTAAATTATTAAGTGTTTTAATAAGAAAGAAGCAGTCTTTACTGCTCACATTCACCATTTATTATGGTTGTGTTAGACATAAGAATTTAGAGATACTTGACGTGCAGTTCATACAAAATGTAAAGCAGAGTTTTCATTTACCCCACCCAGACAGACACACAAATCCAGCTCCTTGGCAAAGATTCGAACGTGGGTCTCCCGATTTGGGCTTTGAAGCCAAAACAGAATACTACGGTATTGGGGGGGGGGGGGGGGGAGTAGAGAGAGATTGTTCCCCCCCCCCCTCCTCAAGAGATGGATAAGGCGGCTCTTGAGAGACTTGACTACCCTGTCACTGGAGTGTCTAGATTTGAGGTCTTTCACAGAGAGAACACTTAAGAAATTCTGAGATCTGTAATAAAACTGCTCTGGTTTGAGGGCACCGTTCCGCACATCAGAAAGATGTTGCCTGAACCGGTTAGCTAGCCGTAGCACCATTTCACCAATATTTTGTATTCATCTTTTGCAGATGATGGTATTAAAAACATTACAACTCGAGGAATGTGGGGATAAAGAGCGAGAAATGGAAGAATTGAAGGACGTGCAGCTGACATGCGAGTTCGTAGAGGCAATCCATCTAATGATCTGACCTGAGCATAGAAACCGAACGCGAAGAAGAAGAAGAAGAAGAAGAAGAAGAAGAAGAAGAAGAAGAAGAAGAAGAAGAAGAAGAAGAAGAAGAAGAAGAAGAAGAAGAAGAAGAAGAAGAAGAAGAAGAAGAAGAAGTAATTGGGTGACTTATTATATTTCACGCGATACTAAATCCACACACACAATTAGCTTTCACCACAATTAAAATAAAAAATTGCTTTGAACACTTTTTTCTTTTTAAAGTGGATCAGTAAAATATTTGCACTTAATTACTAGCCGTATCAACCCCTGGTGCGTTCACATGGAAATGAGAACATTTTACGTGAACAATCTACAAGAAAACGTTCCTCGTAAAATAAAGTATATATTAGTAATTAATTTAAAAAAAAAAAAAACAACAACACGTGTTTTATTGCAAACGTTTGAGTATAAATTATTTTAACTCTCTTAGAAATCACTGTCGAAACAAGGCAAGGCGATCTGCAGCCAAATCGCCTACAGCTGCGATCGACTCAACGTTACGATAGATCGTAGGGCCTATGTTTGAGTGCGTATAATATTGCGTGTATGAATAAGTGAATGAATTAATAAAAAAAAATGAATTAAAGGTAATTTTATTTAAAACAAAAAGATAATCACAACAAACCTTGGGTAATAGTAGCACACAAGAAGCATGGCGTTCTTGATGTTTCTGTTCGCGACACTCAGGGAGGGACACACATTGGCGGAACAGCCTACTGTGGTTGTATAACCCCAGACAATCTGTGGAAGGTGAGGCAAATAGAGAGCGACTGCAGTCGAGCTGAGTGCAGGAAATGTTAAATACAACATAAAATGTGACTAGAAAGCCCAATGGAGGGAATGGAAAAGACGCAACAAAAACAACCGAACGTTTCGACCAAAGTCTTTATCAACTGAGTACAGTACAGTCTGTGACTGGAAAACTCAACAGACAAGACAGCAGAGCGATGAAACAGTATTGACACCGCCAGATCTACCGTAAACCATCACTAAACTTTCTCAAAACACACACGCACACGCACAAACACACAAACAAACACACAAACAAACACATACACACACACATACACACGCAAAAACACACATCTCTTCTTCTTCTTCTTCTTCTTCTTCTTCTTCTTCTTCTTCTTCTTCTTCTTCTTCTTCTTCTTCTTCTTCTTCTTCTTCTTCTTCTTTTGTCGTCTCATGGATACCAGATTGTTGCCCAGTATCGTGGTTTTGTCGTCTCCCGGATACCAGATTGTTGCCCAGTATCGTGGTTTTGTCGTCTCACGGATACCAGATTGTTGCCCAGTATCGTGGTTTTCTGTATTTGTCTTGCGCTTCTCGGATGGCTTGAGTGATGGATTTGTTCATCTTTTTTGCAGGTTTTAGTTCCACCATTTATCCGTCTCTTTCTTGGTGTTATTCTCGCCTTTCTCTTAGTTATTCTGTTGTAAATCCTCTTATACGCATTCTGGTCCAGCTGCATTCTCACTAGATGGCTGAACTATTCAATTTCACACCACCAGACCTTCGTATTAAACGGCAATACTAGACTGTTGCAGCAAGCATCACTTGAACCTCTTAAGAGGTAACTTGCAAGTGTTTTCTACATCATATGCTGAACTGTTTGCGTAAATATCGCCTCTTTATTTCACAGAAATTCTGCGATGTGAAATAAAAAAGACGAAATGAAATTTTGTTAACGTATTGAATCTCAGAATCACCTGCCCAGTTAGCCAGATTCTGGCATTTCTCAGTTGGCTGTAATTTATGGTGTAATACTTACTTTCACAAACATATAGCAGGTAATATTCACAAAGACATCAATGAGTACTCTTGTTCACTGACGTTAAGCCGTATCGCATTTAAAAAAAAAATATAATTTAGTTTTTATCATAGGTTGCCTGGAAACAAGAGTCTGTAAATCTCTCTAAAACAGCTGTTCATATTTTCATCCCTTTCTGGGATGCAATTTTTCGTAATTTGGAGACCCTACCCTGGCTCTTGCCAGAAGCCGCAAAATAGCCCCGCCATAAATATGGTCTAATGACTTAACGCGGTTTCTGGGACCTCCCCACGTGTGATCCTCATCCACATGGTTCCACTTTGTATCATCGGGTGTTTATCGCTTGTGTGATGTCCTGGTGGGGTAAAAAACGATAGATAGATAGATCCAAAACAGCATTATTTATCTATTAGGTTCCAATTCGACTAAGGGACTTAAACCCAACATAGTTTTAGCTAATATTTATGAGTTACAGTCCTTGCTAGAATACTTGACAAGCTTACTATGTATTTGAAGGTAAAAGAAAGGTGACCAACATTTTACTGACCCCATCAGCCATCTAAAGCCGATAAAAATATCAAGAAAAAAAAACATACAACGGAATTAACAGGTGTTCACGTGGCCTTGGACTTCTAATTGTTCACCCTGGTCTCTGGGTAGTGAGATCAGACGCCCGTGTGCAAAAAATTCCGTGTCAGTTGGAAATCGAAAAGAGTTGCTTAACGGAGCTGCCCGGGCAAAATTTAGAGTTTAAAATCTACCCAAAGTATTTCAGGATAGTCGCCGATGCTACAGAACCTGTGCACTGTGCTGAGCTTCTTCGGACTCAGACTTGAGTTAGAAAAAGAACAGAGCACTTATGGGTTACTAACCGTGTGCCATGATGTTGATCCATTGTTCAAACTTCAAACTTCAAGTATAGCACCATATGTGATATACGCCACTGCCTTAAAGAAAATGGGTCCTTGACTTTCCTCGTTTTACATGAGACAGTCCATTTAATATTTTCTCTAGGTTATGCCGGTGTGTTGGGAAACGAGCAGGCAGATAGACTTTACACTTTTTTATATGATGCAGTCGATTGGATAATTTCTTTAGCTATACCGGTGAGTTGGCAAACTAGCAGGCAGATAGACGTTCCTCTTTTTACATGATACAGTCGACTGAATACTTTCTTTAAGTGATGCCGGTGTGTTTGGAGACGAGCAAACATATAGGGTGGCCGGTTCTGCACCATTTAGTGGTGAATTGATGTATGAAACGCCAGATGTCGCGAGGGCCCTTTGGGAGCAGGTGAACAGTGCAGAGGCTCAAAAAGATCATTAAGGTCTGAGGAGAATGGCGATGCAGGGAGTTACCAAGGGACCTGGCCGATGCTCAACACTCAGTGAAAAGGCGAGGCGGATGTACAATCAGACAGTTTCAGGTACCATCGGAACTGGAACTCTTCGTCTGCTGCTAAAGAGCGGGACGGAGCGCTTATGGGAGTGTCTCGAGAGCTGTGACATCGATTCTTAATTCAACATTTAACATGAGACAGAAGTTTGTGGACAGAAATGATTACCAACGCCACATAGCAAAGACTATTAAATAATTCTTTGAGTCGAGCTGTTGGAAAAAACCCGGTAGACTCTCGCCCAACGTCTTTCCCGCTCAGTCTACAAGATTTTCCCAAAAGCTTGACTCAAAGATTTAGCCTTTGGGTGGGAAAAAGCAAAACTGTGCATACCAAGAATACAAACATATCTTTCCGCCCCTCGCTGCAATTTCCCTAACAGCGTATGCTGTGAGAACAAGAAGCATCTTTTCGCCATGTCACTTGCATGAAATGTCACGGCATGTTGACTCGGTCACTTACATTAAGTGACACTTAACATCGCTGCCATCTGTCGCCATGAAATGCAACGGCTTTTCACAAGAAAGTGTCGATTTATTAAACACAGGAACATATGTTGTTAATTGTAACTTGGCGAAGAAGAAGGAAAGAAATAAAAACAGTGTGTGTGTTAATTTGTAGGAGAGAATGTATGTGTGAGAGAGAGAAAGGAAAAGAACGAGAAAGAGAGTGAGAAAGTGTGAGAAAGAGAGAGAAAAGAAGCAAGAGAAACGGCCAAAAGACAGGGTGGAGCTTCAAAATAAATAAAAAATTGCATCCCACAAGGGGCGATCGAGTGATATATACCAATCCATTTGCTTTCCCACTGAGTTGCCTGTTTTTTTTCAAAATTTTTTATACGCAGGTTTCGCGTCAGAATGTGTCAATCATGCCATACCGTCTCTATCTTGAGGTCTGAGGATTGAACAACGGATCAACATTATGGCACAAGGGTAATAACACATAAATGCCGTCCGAAGAAGCTCAGCACAGTGCACAAGCTCTGTAGCACCTGCGCGGATCCTGAAATACTGTGGGTAGATGTTTAACTCCAAATTTTGCCCAGACAGCGCCGTTATGCTACTCTTTCTAATTCCCAACTGCCAATGGATTTTTTACGTGGGCAACAATGCACACGGGCGTCCGATCTCACTACCCAGAAACCAGGGGAAATTACTAGAAGTCCAAGTCCACTTGCAAAAATCCCAGCCCTTACGGGATTGGACCCGGAACCTCTAGAAAGTGAGGCGAACACCATGCCTTGAGCTCCCCCCCCCCCCATCCCCATCCCCATTCATTCAACTTTCTCCACAACAACAGTAGCAGCAACAGCAACAGCAACAACAACAACAAATTTACCTAATGGAAACAATACAAAATTTATCTCCCTGTGGAATAAGTAATTGACGCCCCTCAATGAAATGTCAAGGCCATTTTCCCAGCGCAGAAGAAGCAGCTGACTTACCTGAGTGAAATGACAGGCCCCCTTGCAGCTATGCGAAGTGTACCCCCATTTGGACTTCTCCTTGTGCCAGGCCTCCAGCCCTCGCAGGAAGACTTCATTCTCGTGGTCTGTGTCAAAGAAGAGATTCTCTCCCACATCTGGGTTACGCTCGTGCTTAAACATGCACTGCTGAGCCCAAGCATCGGCCCTTTCCTGTAGGCTGATGTTCCATTGCTGTTTTATTTAATGAAAAAAAATATATATAGATATCTTCAGTTTGTGTACATTTAAATTAATATATTATGTGTACATGTTGGAAGTTACCCCAGACAGCAGAACCCGTAGGATTATATTGCGTCCAATTGTCGGACGCAATTTATTTATTGGTTTCAAGCCTTATCCTGGCTGTTGCCGGGGGCTTTGAATACAGCTAGGCAATAACAACTTTATCGCTTGTTTGATGTACTGATGGGGTACAATAAGAGATAGAGAGAGAAAGAGAGAGAGAGAGAGTTGACGCAGGCCCTAATATAATCCAACCAATGGGTCGAACGGGGTTTCTGGGACCTGTTTCCCGGGTGATCCTCATCCGAACAGTGGAACTTTGTGCCATCGGGTGTTTGTCGCTCGGTGTGATGTGCTGGTGGGGTTAAACGTTGATCAGTCAGCAGAACACGTTCTCCGGGACTGCACTTAATGTGACACATGATGGCCCACCATTTGGCTAGAAAGAACAACAGTGGAATGTACAGTCAACAGACCACTGAATGTGACATATGATGGCTCACCGTTTGGCTAGAAAGAACAACAGTGGAACGCACACTCTACAGACCAGTGAATCGATTACAAACGATAGTGACATTTATAAGAGAAACAAAGTTGCTGACATAGACAGCTTATTTCAGAAAAAAAAAAAAAAATTGTTGCGTGGGATGCAGTGGCTGATCAAACGTAGTATACTAGGACGATGTTTCATGTGTATCAAGATCTATCTACATCTCTCCGCCATAGAAGAAGAAGGGTTCTCAACAACGACAGATGACAAGATCCGAACCAGAATACGGAACGACCCCCTCCCCCCTTTTTTTTTTAGTATCCAGAAGCTATGAGTTGTTAACCCTTAGGCTCGGTATTATGGATATCGCAACCATTCGGCCTTGATTCCTTGATAAATACTGGGAGAAATGTGGCTTTTCTGCCCATCCTCGGGAGTGAACCCGGACCACAAGGAGTTCGTCACCCGGTCACCGGTTTAGCCAACAACGCTTTCGAGCCGGGCTAACGACCCTTTAAGATGTGGTGTTGAATATCGAAACACATAAAGGGCAGGCAAAAATAATTGCATGTGAAATGCGCTGTCTCCGCAAGGTCACAACAAATACAGGAAGAAAGAGGATTACAGGGTTACGAATAGAAACAATAGACAGAAAGTTGGAATAAGATCATGTCTGGATTATATTGACAGACAAAGAACCAAATGGTTCGGCCATCTTGTGAGAGTGTAGCCAGGCCAAATTGAGTATGAGACGTTTTACAGCAGAACATCTGGGAGGGAGGCAAGAGGAAGACCAAGATAGATACGTATAATTGGTATAGCCGAAACCTACAAAACGATGAACATATCCATCACCCAAGCCAACCCGAGAAGCCTTAGACAAATACAGAAAACCACGACACTGGGCTACAACCTGGTATATCCGTGAGACGGCAAAAGAAGAACAAGAAGATGTTCGTCGATCACCTGTGATGAAGTCCACGTAGGGTCACACATATAGCAATGATTACCAAATAGGAAGACTAGTCTAGATAGATAGGATCGACGTTTGTTTCCAAGTCGAAGTACTTCTGCCCAGAGAGGCAAGTAACCAACAGTCTGCACACAAAGAACGAATTCCAGAAGTGGTTGAACAATCAAGACTTTCCACCTGAGTTTACAACTAATGAACACGGAAAAAGCAAATGCGTCCTTTTTCAGCATTTCTACAGTTATTACTTTCTGCAAGTCTCATTTTACTATTGGAACCTATATGTTTATAGACTGTTCTGTAAATACATCTTATCTTATTTACCATGATTGAAGCCGGTACTGTCTGGATCTCGTTTGTTTACATTAGGTGTCTGCTGCGCATTCTATATGTATGTCTCACCTTAATGTTCAAATCACCTTATCATGAAGTTCGTCCTAGGTTGGATTTTAATACAGCGTTATACGAAATGATGGATCCATTTTCACTTATGTACATTTCCTTGAAACTCAGTAATATACATACAAGAGAGAGGGAAAGGCCTACCGTTTCGAATAGTACCGTTAGAGCGCTGGCCGACTTGTACCAGTATCTGTACTGTGCCTGTATTACAGCTGCAGTCAACTCATTTACACAAGACATGCTTCTTGGTGTGTGGGATGAGTTCGGCTACCGCTTAGATGTTTGCTGAGCAGCCGACGGCGGCCATACTGAGCATCTGTAACCTCTATTGTAAGTTTCTAGCAAATATACATGAATGAAAGTGTCATCATCATCATCATCATCATCATCATCATCAGGTGCCTTGCCTCTCCATAATCGACGATCTCCTGCAGCATGCATCAGTTGGTGTGCCGACACACCTCCATGTCATGCAACAAGACTGTCAAGAATCTTCTCTCGTTGTCTTAATCTATCCCTCCTTCCACAGATCTTCCCAGTGGCTACAACACGTTATATTTTCCCTTATATCCATTATATTTGAATAACCCTGAATTAAAATCATCATCTCTGCAGCCAATATTATTTCCATTCTCTCTCTCTCTCCCCCCCCCCCCTCCCAGAATTTCCATACGATAATGTTAAATTGTGTTTTGCGGAGGCACAGGAATCACAACACATGGCGATGGCGAGTGCGACTAGCAAGATCCACTCGCGTTAAGAAGAATGTTCCACAATTAGACGAAGAGAGCCGCCATGGGGTAGCGCCTAGACGCTCGCATGCGCATCAGAAAGTCGCTGGTTCCAACTAAAATAGAGCTGCACTTTTTCAAAAATTACCTTGGCTCCCAGGTCGACCCAGCCTAAAATGGGTACCAGGTACAGTCCTTGGAAGTAAAGGCGGCCAACATGATGCTGTCCACATTACCCATGAGTGCCGATTGGTCTATAGAATATAGGGCTAGCTCTATATACCTACTTTGCCTGCTGGCCAGGAAAAGGGTCCAAGCCTCACAAGCAAATTCCAAACCTAGACACAATTTTAAGGACACTGAAACTACTCCTCCCAGTTCTACACCCACCCCACCCCGACCCCCTCCCTGCTTCCCCCTCCAACCGCGTTTTCTCTGTGTGTTCTTCCTGACTTATATAATCGTAGGAATATAGTGATAGTTTTGTAAATTCTTTTTCCATGTAATGACCAAACTACTTTATTCTCTAGCCCTCTGTATAATCAATGCACAATGTGCGCTTAATGTACATGCTATATCTATCTCCACCCCTGCCTCTGCTACCGTTTCCATCTTCCCATTTAACCAGGATCTCACAACTACCAGATGGTACGATAGCCGTCGGTGGACGACAAAGTATATTGTAAGCACGAATTGTGAGTTAAGATCGGCACAGCCAAGCATGAGAAGCACACTAGACGCACACGAAGTCTTGTTAACCAACATAGGACTGGTACTATTAACCGCACGACGCTAATGAATATGTTGAGAGGGGAATCTGAGCGCCTATGGATGTGTCCGGAGTGCTGTGAAGATAATCTAACATCTAACTCATACTTTATCATTGTAAACAAATATAGGTTTCCCGTTTTTCTAATGCACTTTCAGAAAATGAGTGTTTGCAGTGAGACGGAAAACAACGTAATCAGCACAAAGTATCTACAGGTGGACTTGAAGTACATAAGTCCCTTTTGTTGCAATTTGGAAGTTTTCTGTACAAGGCAGATGTTTTTTATTTTTTAAACTATAGAGGCGGAGGGACACATGAAGACGGTTGCCGTTTGCATAATGCTATTACATCATAATTTAAAACTCTCAAGCAAAAGATTTGTATATTCCTTAGAACAGCGGTTCTGAAACAGTTTCGCTGCGACACCCTAGTCGGGCTAAAACATTTTCCAGGCACAACTACAATTAAAGCGGTTGAAAACTTAGAAAAAAAAAAGTGCAAATTTAATGATGAGTCATCTTTAATGCGATGATTGAAACTGGATGAATTTTGCATTATTTCCTGTTCATTTTTAGAAATTTTTTCCATCATGAATACCCCTGCCTGAAGAAAAAAAAAGCGCGACGTTTAAGGTTTCTTAATCTTTATCTGTTTTATCTATTATTTTATCTTTATCTATTAGGTGTGTATGTATGGAATGTGTGTGTGCATGTATATCCATAAATATATGTATGTGTGTGTTTTCTGTTTGTGCATTTATGCCTATGTTTGTGTTTTATGTTTGTGTATGTATGTAGATGTGTGTGTGTGTGTGTATGTATAACGTACATCTGTAAATGAGTGTGCATGTATGAGAACGTAGGAGTATGTATACGTGTGTGCGAGTGTATACCACTGTGTACACATGATGTGTGTATGCATTATTCTATAATTTATATTTCTTTATTATATCCATAATATGAATTATTGATAATAGGCATTGGTACTCTGAAAAATGAGTACTTAGAAAGGCCGAATGTCGGACCGGCCTGCGTGCCCAATTTGTAACCCTTTGAAAATAAAGTTTGTTCGTTTGTTGGTTCTACTAAATCAGAATGATCGCATTCTAGATTACTCGGTAATTTGGACGGAACCAAGCAGACGTTAGCAACATTTCAATGGCAGTTAATTCATTGCCCTTCCGGTCGTGCCTGTTCGCTCCCACACGAAACAATGCCAAACAAAGAGAGGTAGTTAGGATCATATTTTCTTAGTTTTTCTTATATTTTCTTTTGGTCGTGAGTTGGCTTTCAGCGAATTGAGGCAAACCAACTTGGATGGTTTAGGCATGCGGGTGTCTGCTGAGACATTGTAACTTACTTATCGTCCGTACCTTAAGGAATGCAGGTAGAGGACCAGTCGCACCTCAAGATAAATACAAGGACGATCGTTAGCACGTTCCTGTTGTCATTTGATGCAATGTGAAACACGTTTGAGTGTGAAACAAACAATTAACTCTTTTCAACAGCGGTGAGGAAAGACAACCTAAATTTTAACTTCTAAGTATCTACACGTCTTCTTTAATAATTTCACAATGTTTAGCCGACT